GAATTAAGGAAATATAAGAAAACTACGACTCTTTCTGCACCTTATAGGCTTTGGTAACTATGCGCCGCTTTCTTCTGGGCTCTTCTGTCTCTCCATCACTGGAGGGCTCATCCCCCTCATCGATGTCGAAGTCTGAGTCTACTTCATCCTCTGTGTCTGACTGGTCTCCTTGATACTCATCATCTCCAGATTCCTGAGGTCACAGAGACAGTGGAATGAATGGACAATAGAATTATCAGGGGCGGGGAGATGGCTCTGTGGAATAAACACTTCTCTGGCAAGTGCAAGGGCCTGAGTTCAATCCCCGGTTATGACAAAAAAAAAAAAAAAAAAAAATTCCTGCCTCAGCTTCCTAGGGTACTGTGATTATAAGTGTGTGCCACCATACCTAGATAAAAAAGACAACATATAAAGTACTAGGTGGCAATGAAAGTACAGAAGAGGGCCAGGGAGATGGCTCAGTACAATAAGCACTTGACTGGCAAATGCAAGGATCTGAGTTCAATCCCCGGTTCTGCCAAAAAAAAAGAAAGTACAGAAGAGCTGGGCACAGTGGAGTACCCACTGATAATCACTGTTGAGGTTAACCTCAAAGTTACTACAAGAAATAAATATGAGGGGCTGGGGAGATGGCTCAGTAGAATAAATGCTTGCCTGGCTAGTCCAGGGTCCTGAGTTTAATCCCCAGTACTGCAAAAAAAAAAACAAAAAACAAAAAACAAAAAAAAGAAAAGAAAAATGAGTCATTCTTTAGATGTGGTGGGAAAGAAAAATATTTGATTACTTTAGATCATGGGAAGCCACTGAAGATTTCGGGCCAAGCACAAAGAGTGTTTCAGAAAGTTCTGTGCGAACCATAGCCTAAATGTGAGTTAATACAGGTTAGGGTTAGAATGGCTGCAAGAGTCAAAACAAAGCAGGAGGGTCCAGGGAGATGGCTCAGTGGAATAAGTGCTTCCCTGGCAAGCGCAAGGGCCTGAGTTCAATCCCTGGTTCCATAAAAAAATAAATAAAAAATAAAACAAAGCAGGAAAAAAAAATCACTAAAGGCAGAGGGAGTTAGCTTGGTGGGCAGCACTTCAAACATGTGGCTCCCAGTTCCATCAGTAATATACAAGCTAATGGACTAATCTTGGTACACATGCGCCAAAGTAAGCAAGCAGCACAGATGGCTGACACTCCAATCCAGCCAGAGCTCAATCCTGCACTGATGATCATCATTTCCTCCCACCTGATGTCTGTGAAAGACAGCCTGGGAACACATTAATCCCCTCAGCCTAGTCTGGTATTAAGCATATCACCAGAGGGTGGGAGATCAACTCCTCATGAATTTCGTGTCCAATCAAAATGCTTCTGCCACAGTATGGATTTATTACCATCCTGGTGGTTTTTAATGAGCATCATTAATAGACATGACTAATTTAGAGATTGTTTTTCTAGCTACACGTGGGGGGGGGGTCAGGGGACATCAAAGTTCAGTTTCCAGAAAGCTCACCAGATAAATTTAATATTAACTGCTGTTACCATTTTAGCATAGGCTCCTGGCACAATTACTTCTGGTCTGTCTATTTTTACTGTTCTTACTTTTTGTTTATATTGTAAGCCTTCTTAAATCCTTTCTGGAAGCATGAAGAGTACATATTAAATAACAACTCGTAAAATGACAGAAATAGGAAAATGGGCTTGGAAGAGAGATGAGAAAGTTCTATTTTAAACTAGTTGGTAGCTGGGCATGGTGATACACACCTATAATTCCAATACTCTAGGAGGCTAAGGTAGAAGAATCAGAAGTTCCACTCTAGGTATTTAGCAAGACTCTGAGAGCCAGCCAAATAGCTCAGTGGATTAAAACGCCTGCAAGCAGGAGCAGGGGTCAGGTTCGATCCCTGGGCCTGGTTTAATCCCCAGGCCTGCCCTGCTGGCCCCGCCCCTGGGTCACCCTGAGAGGCAACTGAGACTGGGTGTGGTGGTGCCTATAATCCCAGCTCTTGAGAGGCTATAAACAGGTGGATCACTACAAGTCTGATCTAGTAGTGAGATCCTGATGAAC